TATATTGTTCCCATTTCACATCATCAAGGAAATCCAAAGCTAAATATTTGTGCAAAAACAGAACGACATTTTTGAAAGCCAAGTTAACCGCGAAGCAAACACGAATTGCCGTTTATATCCGTAAAGTGCGTTCGTTGACGTTTTCTCTTAAACGATAGATTTGACTACATTCTTGTCAGTTGATGAATACCACGCAACTGTTATTCCCAAAAGAAATGATCCTAAATGTGACCTATTAGAAGACACCCATACTGTATCATATAACCAGATCAATTTTGATTGGATGAGAGCCTGCTATACGTCACCAGTGATCCGCCAATGAACATATGTCACTCAACGCCATAACATCAAATAATATATTCAAAGAAGCAGACGTATTCGCCTTGGGAATTCAATCATGGACACTTTTAGCCTTGTAGTTAACAACTCTTTTTAATTTTCCGTATAGTAACAGTATTATAATAATGACTTATTAAGCTAATGAAAACTGCTAGCCGACGTAGATTTTTAATTCCGCTTCCATTGTATATTAGAAATGGGCCAAAGCACTTCAGAGTTATGTGTACTATAAGCGAAAACTTTCAGAAAATTACTGGCCATTTGAAATTCAGAGTGGGAGGCAAAAGTTACATTGGATAACACGATATTTGTCTTTGGGGTATCAACTGTTATTTGTTTACGTCTATAAAGTATGAAAAATGCCTAATATTTCCTTCGACCTTTGTTTTTGTGACCAGGATAATGATATTGTAATGACAAAAGTACGCGGGTGTAGGCTTTAAGAAAGCTTTATTCAACTGAGAATACAAGGTTCGCGTATAGTGTCCTTTTATAGTCCCAGTAAACAGAAATAGCTCTCTCAAAGAGGAGATTAACAAAACAAGGGGAGACCACTCTTGATTTTTCATAACAGATATTTCTGAAATTTATGTGTTCCTATTAGGAATACTGGCGAATGTGAACATGCGCAAAGTAAGAACAAAACGACATATGACTGTCAGACGTGGACGATGGTGGAAATAAATATGACTGACCGCCTTGGTCAATCTGGTTCTCTGCCCAGGATAAAATCGGCTCCGATTCGACCTTTTTTGCTCTTAGCCGGCGGTCGTCTGGTTGGAAGAAAGAAATATATTGTATTTTTTTTAAATACTGACCGGAAGCCTGTGTGGAGCCCTAATGGGCACACAGTCATATTTTCGCTATATGGCTTATAGCCACGAAATCTCTAACTTCCTGTCTGTCTCCCACAGGTATACCCAACATCTTTAACGTTTCCATCGACGGTGTTTACGTGTTATACTAAAGATGTCATAACGGTCCCATGTACCGGACACGGCTGGCTAAAATAACAACCACTGAGTTCAAGATCACGAAGTATCAACTGAGATGGGCTGGTCACCTCGTTCGCTTAAAGGAAGCTCAGTATTTATCGATCCACCCATGAGGATAGAATGTGGCACAAGGCCGGTTTAATGTGGGTATCCCCGATCCCGTAGGCTCGGCCAAAAATATAGCCTTTTTGAACCCGCCTAGACGAATTCAGGCCCTGTCTACCTCCCCGAACGAGACCTTTGCCCTTCGGCAAAGCTTCGTCCGGGTTCCTCTCTGCTAATGCAGAGAGTTCAACAGACGCCGACTCGGAAACTCACAAAGGCAGCGTACTACACTTTGATCCTAGCCTCCGGGCCGAGCAGCTTAAAGGAAGCTCGCATACCGAAACAGGTGATCTACAGTAGGAGGGTTGATTTTTTTCCTGTTTCTTTCAGAAAATCAACATCGCACTTAGTGCAGATGCTGGGGTTTGGTGTGATATATAAGGACGCTAAAACTTAGGTTCGCAGCTTTTATCAACTTTTGAGGATTTACTATAAATATCGTCTGAAAAAAGGAAATAAATACCTAATTTCCGTAGGACTTTGTTTACAAACTGACTTCAAAATTTTACTGTTTCAAGAATAAATCTAAATAAATTAGATATCTCTTACATTAGAAACATCGAATGGAAAATATATTCAAACCAGAATTTTAATTATGCATCATTACAAGCAAAATATGCAGTCCTTTTCACTGTATTCGATAAGTAAAAACTGTGTGAAAAAATTATAAAAGATTACAAAAATGGCTGAATAAAATTTGGTAGATCATTTAATCAATAAAAAACAAAACAAAAATGTATAAAAGTGTATATACAGTGTAACCCGGATATAAGAGAGTTGTCGGGACCGGAGAAGAAGTCTCTTATATCAGGGTTTCTCTTATATCCGGGTCTCTCATATCCGGATTACACTGTAACACCATAATACTGCTGGGCTCAAATTATAAAACAAAAATTTTAAATCTAAAATTTGCATTGTTTATTGAAAATCACACTAAAACTACTGCACTGTATAACGTATTACATCATAATATAGCTAAATTGTTCAGTATAACTTCCCTTTGAAGTAAATGAAGGTCTTATTTGATGGCACGATTATTTAGTAATAATGTACTTGTGACATGCATCTTGTCTATATACAATTTGTAAAGCTTCAGTGATGTGATGGAATAACCTGACACCCCCATGAATGGCGGCACTATAGGTGGTAACCACCTATAAGTATCCATGAGGACAGCGGACAGCAAAGTCGCACTGGGATCTTTCCCAGCTCCGCTAGTCGAACTCTCTGCCTTCGAGCAGAGAGGAACCCGGACGAGGCTATGCCGAAGGGCAGAGTTTCGTTCGGGGAAGTAGACAGACCCGATCCCGTTTATGCGGGGTCTACGGGGATTTTTTGGCCGAGCCTACGGGCTCGGGAACTCGACATTAAATTCGGCCTTGTGCCACATGTGACTGCGTGGGGCAGTTACTAAATAGCGTCGAGCTGGGATCTGCGAGAACTAGCGGCCTTCCGATAGCAGCACGCACATAAATGTACTGACTTGCGACGACCGTACGCATAACTATTACTTCCTTGCTTTGTATACTGGTTTCTACAATAAACCTGTTACTTTTTATCCATCGTATTTGTCCATTCCATATTCCTATTAGCACGGAATATAGCATTCAGTAAATTATAAATTTTGTAAGGCCGTGCTATAAGGCTTTCACTGATCACCGGGATGAAATTCTAACGCTACGATTTTGTACCTAAACATAATCTTTAAACTTGTTTCCTCAAAAAAGGTAATGATTTTGAAAAAAAAGGGGTCTTTATTTATCATGACAAACACCAACCCTCAAATTGAGTGCAATGTCACTGTTCCAAAATCGACCTTCCCTACTGTATTGTGAGCTAGCATAAGGCAAGCGTCCCCAATGCAAGACGCGCAAATGATTCAAGAACAACCTTAAGGATATATTTAAAAAAGTCGGCAAACCACCGTGCCTGCAAAAAAGGAGTGTTAAATTTATATTAAAACTAATGCAATGCAATATTTATCTTTTACCAATTTATAAAAGAATAAATATAAAAAAAATATTCATCAGTTTGCAAATATTTACTAAATATTTAAACTATATGGACCAACTATAAGGAAATCCTCATTCTTTAACATTTTATAAAGTTCAAATCGATTGGTAATTAGTCGATGTTTTACCAACCATTTCAATAAATAATGTTTATTATTTTTGTAAATTCTTAACAACAAAGAAAATATATAAATTCACTTTTCATATATTTCGGCTTTATAACATTTCTAATCATCACTTTTTAAACAATAAACATTGCAGAGGAGTGGAGGTAGTTAAAATAATAGCGGCGTCAAGGGAAAAGCTGTCCTTTTTGATACACTGTTTCTTTTGCGGTTATTTTGTTCTCATGTATAATAAACACTTTAGGCTTAAAAATCCGAAAAGAAATATGCGTATTATAAGCGAATAATTAAAGTGTAAAATGCAATGTCCGAATCAGCATTGGAGTTCATTAACTACAAACGAATCTTCCAGAAGCCGGGCCTGGTCGACCTATACACAAGACGCAACAGAGTCATTGGCCAAAGAAGGTTAACCCATCCTGCGTGAATGTCGAATCAAGTTAGTCACTAAATACACACCTACACCCAATCATCTTTATCTCTACCCCCCCCTCAAAAAATATAACAATCAACTGAAAATAGCTGCCGGCCACACAAGAGACTGTAATGATTATTTCTGTCTTTCTGCATCTATTTTGGTTCAAATCGTTCGCTAAATATCATTTTTCTATTTGCTTATGTATTGTCTACAATCTTGGATCATTCCTCCCCCTCCACTCAACTGTTATCTACTCGACATCGTTGTAAAGGGTCTCTCCTTAATGGAGAGTCGGCAAAGTGGTTCGTAGACGAACGCGATGTCAACTCGTCATGTTTGTTGACTTGTGGATGTTCTTGTCAACTAATGGCGTCAGGTATCTTGACGTCAAACCGTACGGCTCCCTTCAAAGAAGTTTTTTTTTTTTTAGCTGATATTTTTTAATCATATTTTCCTGACATGTTCTTGTCGCATAATGACGTGTAGATGACGTAATGGTTATCAGCTTGAGAAAAGGAATCGAGTAATCGTGTACAAATTTCGATTACTTTGAATATAGGCTCTTTGGCGCAAGAGGGCGTCGTCAGTGATATTCTGATTTGGGCCATTAGGCAGTTTCGGGTCTTTCAAACATCATACTCCCCTCACCAAGTCGACCCCATCAGAACTGATCAGTCTCTAATGAGCCCCCATGCCAAATTAACAGCCTGCAGACATCGGCATCAGCAGAAATAGCATCATCAGCAAGAGTAGCATCTTTACTAGCCTGCAGACACTGACTTATTTTAGGCAAACCCTACCCCCTCAATAACGCATTTGATTGGAAGTTGACCAACAGCCAATCACAATGGTGTGAGATTTATTTAAGCTGTTTACGGGGGATGTTTACTTTTTTTTTATGTAGATGCTCATCAGATACACGGAAGGTAATTATGCGTTTTCCGGTTTTTTTTCAAAGTTTTTTTTTTTTTACTTTTTTTTTCATCATCCCTCAAGTTAGAACTGTTTAGGCGTCATCTTCAGCAGCAGTAACATCAACAGCAGGAGTAGCATCAGCAGCAGAAATAGCGGCATCAGCAAGAGTAGCATCAGCAGCAGGAGTAGCATCAGCAGCAGACGTAGCGGCATCAGCAGGAGAAGTATCAGCAGCGGGAGTAGCATAAACAACAGGAGTAGCATCTTCATTAGTAGTAGCATCAGCAGCAGGCGTAGGATCAGCAGCAGAAGTAGCGGGATCAGAAGAAGTAGCGGCATCAGCAGCAGTAGCACCTTCATTAGCAGTAGCTTCAGCAGCAGGAGGAGCATCTTCATCAGCAGTAGCATCAGCAGCAGGAGTAGCATCAGCAGCAGGAGTAGCATCAGCAGCAGACGTAGCGGAATCAGCAGGAGTAGCATCAGCAGCGGGAGTAGCATAAACAACAGGAGTAGCATCTTCATTAGTAGTAGCATCATCAGCAGGCGTAAGATCAGCAGCAGAAGTAGCGGCATCAGCAGAAGTAGCGGCATCAGCAGCAGTAGCACCTTCATTAGCAGTAGTTTCAGCAGCAGAAGTAGCGTCAGCAGGAGAAGTAGCGGCATCAGCAGGAGTAGCATCAGCAGCAGGAGTAGCAGGAAAAGTAGCGGCATGAGCAGGAGTAGCATCAGCAGCAGGAGTAGCATCTTCATTAGCAGTAGCATCAGCAGTAGCATCAGCAGTAGCATCAGCAGCAGAAGTAGCGGCATCAGCAGCAGTAGCATCATCATCATCAGCAGCAGCATTAATTACAGGGATAACCGCAATTGCATTAGTTATACACAGGAATAAGTTCTACGGCAACTTAGATCTTGAGACTGCTACATTTATTAAGAGAGAAAATAACGTACTTAGAAAGTTTTTGAGAGTGTAGCTATCGATTCTTCTTAAAATGTTAACTTACTCTATGTAAATATATGTGCATGGGTATATATCGATTGGCATGTACATGTATGTATAAGTATGCAAAAAAGTTTCTAATATATGTATATGCCTGCGTTGATATGTATGTACACGTATGTAAAAAGTATATATATATATATATATATATATATATATATATGTGTGTGTGTGTGTGTGTGTGTGTGTGTATACACACGCACACACAAACAAACACACATACATATAGGGTGCGATGGGTAAATTGTCACCATTTTATATTTTAATTTCGCGCATGCGCGTTCTTCTTTGTTTTTGATTTTGTCGTGTCAGTTGGGCACCATCTCTGAGAAAACGAGCACCATGAAGCAATTCACTTCGCCAGAAATTTAGAAACAGCATGCTATACTGCTTGGCATTCGCACCGAAAGTTCCAATACGAACATTGCAGAGTATTTGGGTGTCAATCTGAGGGCAGTGCAGCGGATTCGGAAAGAGTTGGATGAGTCTAATGGTGATTACGAAGGTGTGATGACTAGGAATGGTAACGTTTTTTAAAATATCTTCTCTCTTAAAAGAAATACTCCTTTTTTCAGGCCAGCATGCATCACCATAAAAAAAACCCAGTTAATTCAGGTTTATTTTATTATTTAAAATAAATGAAATAAATACATAAATAATCTGTCAAATTAAATTAAAATAATAAATAATAATTAAAATAATAAGTAAATATATATATATATATATATATATATACACATATATATTTAAAGAAATAAGAAAATAAATATTCAACAACATTAACAACATTTATTCACATTTGTTTTATTAGGCATTTAGTTATATCATTTAGCATCTTCCATAGTTTACTTTTACTTACACAGCTTTAAGAATAATTAAAAACAACAGATAATTTGTGTCGATTAACTTTAATGATCGATTTTTCCATATTACGAATAATCTTTTTCAGACAAGGAAGAAATTCCGTCCGAAATTATCCGAAGTTCCTTCTGGAAGAACAATAAGTTTAATATCATGCCGATATATCAAACAGACAATTACTCGTATCTACAAATACAGGAAAAAAACTTTATAGACAAATTCAAACCCGAACTGAATAGATCGTAACCCCCCCCACAAAAAAAAAACATGCACACAGGGTGACCAAATACAATGATCAAATCGCTCACATACATGGACGCACACTCATATAAGGGAGACACGAGGAGATATATATATGTGTGTGTACATATACATACATTTATGTATGTATATGCGGATGTTGACAACTTAAGAAGTACGTGTGTGTGTGTGTGTGTGTGCGCGTGTGTATGTGTGTGTGTGTGTGTGTGTGTATGTGTGTGTGTGTACTGGTTCCATGTAGCTTGGGAAATATGTGTGTATATGTGTGTGTGTACTGACTACTTGTGGTGGGATAGTGTGTATGTGCGTATGTGTGTGTATGCGTGTATAAGTACAAATAAGTTTACGAATTCCTCGTAGTAAGGAAATATACGCACGCATATATACACGCATGCTGACAGGAACACACCAAAATAGAAACAGATCCAAGAGCACATAGAGGTCACTAAAACATTAAAAGATTAAATGCCGATAACTACTCGCTGGACAAACCTTAATTGTTTTATGACCCTTCGCGCAGAACTCTTCATTGACAATTCTAGAAAGAAAATTCGGATTGCCAACACACAAACAGAATGTCTCATATCGAGAATATTCCACATTGAACATGAAGAAAATTAATTATTTTTAAATATGTAGAAATCTCCACTTTCACCTGAAGACGGTTGCGAGACCAGAAACACGTGTCGTGAAATTATGTAAAACAAAGTATAATATTTTTCTCAATAAATCCACATTACAACCAAAAACGTTTGCGGCACCACCCTTCTTTTTAATATACATACTTTTCTCTCGTTGGAACCACTACAACATATTTCTTTTATATATATATATATATATATATATATTATGAAATGGACAAAGTCCGACAATTATTTTAAAGACATTTTTTAATGTTATACCTTCTTTTTATAGATACAAATATTTAAGTAAATGCTCTATTTGTAATAAACAGTATTAACGACATTTACCGGCCTGAATGTCCGAGAAATTTTCATAGAAAATATGCGTCCCCCGACAGGAATCGAACCTGTATCCTATACGGAACTGTCATATAGCCTTAAACCGACTTAAAAATAATTGCCGGACTATGTCCATTTCATAATGTGTGACGTCATTTGTTTACATTTGGATACGCATCATATGAATGTATGAAAGAAAATCATGAAGAATTGTAAGTTTAAAAACAGTAAAATCGACCTTGCTAATCGAAACGCTCCTCTGTGGCGAAATCGGTAAAAGCACGTCAGGTCCCGTGGAGTTGAGCGTCAGACATTCTAATGGGTGTGGGGAGCAGGGATGGTTCCCTCTGGTGAGCAATTGTTTTGAAACTTTCGTTTCATTGCATCTCGCTATAGAAATCTTCTTATAATTGCCGTCATTTTTTATGACACGGCTACACTAGTTATTAGTAATTAAAATAAAATAGTTAATTTATCTTTCTTTAATAAGTACTCTTAGTTGCATGGCACTTCGGTAAACTGAAACACATTTCTTGATTTGGTCAAAGAATGCCACCAGCTACCTCTTTGTGCAACCTGAACGCCCACACTCACGATTCCCTGTGTGATAAATACACTTCAGTTTTGCATAAAATTAAGAAATATATATTAGCTTGCACCACACAAACAAACAAACAAACACAAACACACACACACACACACACACACACACACACAAAAATAAAAAACAGTTTTGTTTTAATCGTTTCAAAAAGCAATAAAGGCAACGTAAGGTGAGGGTAGGGGATACTGACTGTGAAAAATAGAAAAACAGAATTTAAGCGGACAGAAAATAACGATTGACGCTGCCTTTAATGTTGGCTGGAAAGCAAGGAGCCGGAAGAGAGTTCCAAAAGCGAGGAGTGCCGGAGGTAAAACAGTTGGCATCGAACTTACGGTTACAGCTATCAATTTCAATTGCGAAATTATGAGACCTAACTGCCAATTTAGTACAGCGTTTAAATTCGTAAAGTTTAGGTACGAAAGAGGAAAGCACATCAGAACAATTAGCAGGGAAATCTTCTTTTTTTTTAGAAAAGACACAGTGAAGCTACGTTACGGCAGTGGGAAAGTGACTAAACCCGAGATGCCAGGTCAGGACCTATAACACACACACACACACACACACACACACACACACACACACACAAACGCACGCACACAAATAAAAAACAGAGGAAAGAAAAAAGTTTGACATTTTTCATAGGTTGTCCATGTAATTAATCAACGTTCAGGTAAAGAAAAAAATGAAAATGATACTTCGAGAATTGATTCATTTTTTACAGTTTATCAACCCTTTGAGGGCTATTTGAAGTCAAAACATATTTTGGATTGTAAGAATAATTCTTTTTTTTTGTTCTCGAGTAAATGCTGCATTAACAATCTTTTGAGACTATCAATGCTTTTACTAGTTACAAATTCTACTATTTAACCCATAAATGGGAGGAAGACATGGATTCATACCTTTCACAACTGTATTTGCGCACGAGTATTTGTAATGAATCCAACTGACTAAAATCGAGGAAGGTCGTAAAATGTATCGGCCAAAACAACAGGCGGAACAAATTTTGAAAGGGTAATGGCAGTTCTCAAATTTGATTTGATTTTTTTAGATTGTAATAATTTGGGGCAGATATAAATGATCTATTGACACAAGTCCTATTAATTAACCCATAGCTGGGGGGAGTGGTGTATTCATACCTTTCACAAGATTTTTTATACGTAAGTAAATATAAGGAATTCCAGTCGAATCCATTACATACACTTACGTGCTAATACCCTTAGGAAAGGTATGAATTCTTTTCTTCTCCCCCCAGCTATGGGTAAATAGCAGGACAGATCGGGTTCTATATGGCAACTGGTCTACTGCAGAAAGAAATGGCAACCTACTGCAGGAAAAAAATCTGTCTCGTCAGTCATGTGTTGAAAGATGCATGATCGTCTAAGCGTGTATCACATAACTGACTGATCCTCTCAAGAACCTGTTAAAAATGAAATTATCTGAAGTAATTATCTTATTGCGATAGTTTAAAGGGAGGAAATAAAAAGTGTATATTATGAGGATATGTAGGATAGATAATGGTTGACCTTAGACAAGAAAAGCTTAAGATTGTGATGATTGGGGAAGCATCCTCTCTCAGTCAGTTATCTGCCATGCGTGATATACGCTTAGGCGATCATGTATCTTTCGATTCAAACTCGGCTCTCCGATTCCTCAATCTGAGCCGCCAGCCATTACGCTACTGTGCTTCCTCGGATAGCCGAGTTCGAATTCCAGTCGAATCCATTACATTCACTTACATGCTAATACCCCTGGGAAAGGTATGAATCCTCTTCTTCTCTTCCCAGAAAAATGTTAGGGAAAAATAAATGACAAAATGAAAAAATTGAAATAGAACAGACAGGGTTCTATAGCAAGAACAGAAGAAGATTAATTGCAAGGATACCGATTCTGTGAGAAATCAGAGAGACAAGTTCGAATTCCAGTCGAATCCATTACATTCACTTACGTGCTAATACCCTTGGGAAAGGTATGAATCCTCTTCTCCTTCCAGAAAAATGTTAGGAAAAATAAATGACAAAATGAAAAAAAAATGAAATAGAACAGACCGGGTTCCATAGCAAACAACAGAAGAAGATTAATTCCAAGGATACCGATTCTGTGAGGAATTGGAGAGCCGAGTTCGAATTCCAGTCGAATCCATTTCATTCACTTACGTGCTTATACCCTTGGGAAAGGTATGAATCCTCTTCTTCTCTCCCACATTTATGGGTAAATAGCAGGACAGACCGGGTTCTATAGCCTTGGATGGCAAATGGTCTACCGCAGAAAGAAATGGCAACCTACTGCAGGAAAAAAAATCCGCATCGTCAGTCATGTATCGAAAGAGACATGATCGCCTAAGCGTGTATCACGTATGGCACAGAACTGTCTGAAATATAACGATCCCGACTTGAATTGGAACTCAGCTCTTCAAGATTTCATCCATTACACCACCTGCACATCAAAGTTTACAGCACCTGGTATGCATAAGTGTGCATCCATCTAGGTACTGACATGGCTCGACGTTGCTTAACTTCGATAATCATACGAAATCCTGCTTTTCAGCATTATAAGGCAGTGAGTCATACCTCCTGCATCTCCAAGCTTACTGTTTCTGGTATTACCAAGCGGTCACCCATCTAGCTGCTGACTAGATTTGACGTTGCTAAACTTCGATGATCGTACGAAATCCGGCGTTTCAGCATTATATGGCCGTGAGCCATACCTCCTGCATCTCCAAGCTTACTGTTTCTGGTATTACCAATCGGTCACCCATCTAACTACTGATCAGGTTTTACGTTGCTTAACTTCGGTGATCGCACGAGAAGTGTTGTTTTAACTTGATATAGCCGTATGCAATACCAACCGCATATCCAAGCTTACAGCACCTGATATTCCCAAGCGGTCACTGAGCAGGCTCGACGTTGCTTAACTTCGGTGATCGTGCGAGAAGCGGTGTTTCAACGTGATAGGGCCGTCAGCTGACTCTTCTCGGAATTAAAGCAGCTATTTATATACGATAAAAATGGCTGCAAACTTTGAATGAAAATTGACATCATTTGTTTAAATCTCATAAGGCGAGTCAGTTGCATCGGCGGCTTTTATCACGAAAGTCAAGCTCATGTCTGATTTGTCAACAAATGAGTAGAAACGGGGCGGAGAGCTTTTGATGTACCTTTTTTTTTTTTAACCATTTCTTCGTGCTCTTTACAGTGAGCGTGCTTTGGATCACGTTGTAATCGTTTGATGAAACTGCACGGCTGAAGGCGACCCGGTGCTTACCATTCCACTTGAGCTGGTTTCAATTGGTTCAGAGAATCACTGAACGGTCGATGATCGCTTGATTAAGGAAACATCAGTGTAATTCAGGAGAAGCGATTAACACCAAAATTGGCTTAGTTTCGCATCTAAAACGATTAACACCACTCGAAGAACACAGGAGAACCTAACGACAGGAATCCAGGGTATTCTTTGTGGCTTTTCCTGAACCCTGCGTAACGACTTTATGGTTAGAGCGTCGATCTGAATGACACAAGTTCGAAAGATCAGATTTTCAGGACACACACACACACACACACACACACACACACACACACACACACACACACACACACACACACACACACATATATATATATATATATCTGTATGTATGTATCCTGAAAATCTGATATAAATATATATATATATATTAATCTGATATATATATATTAAGTCATTTTTATGTTTATACGTTCTTTTTATAGATACAAATATTTAAGTAAATGCTCTGTTTATAATAAACAGTATTAACATTTACCGGCCTGAATGTCCGAGAAATTGTCATAGAAAATATGCGTCCTCCGACAGCAATCGCAACTGTATCCTATACGGAACCGTCTTATAGCCTGACGTGCCTTTAACCGATTTGGCTACAGAGGAGCGTTCGGTTAGCAAGGACGATTTTACTGTTTTTAAACTACAATTTTCCATGATTTTCTCACGTACATTCATATCTGCTCGATGCGTATCCAAATGTAAACAAATGATGTCACACATTATGAAATGGTCAAAATCCGACAATTATTTTAAGATATTTATGTTTGTACATTCTTTTTTATAGATACAAATATTTAAATAAATGCTCTGTTTATAATAAACAGTATTAACAACATTTACCGGCCTGAATGTCCGAGAAATTTTCATAGAAAATATGCGTCCTCCGACAGGAATAGAACCTGTATCATATACGAAACCGTCATATAGCCTGACGTGCTTTACCGATTAGCACGTTAGACAGAAACCTCGCTGGTTTCACACTCCTCTTCGGCCTTTTGACCAAAAGGAGAGGCTTATCGCTTGTTTGCTGTTTAGGATTGGGTTACTGGTCCCTTCTAAAATCTATTTCCATTTGAACTTTGAAATTTTATTTACTAATTATTTTTTTCTTCTCAATAAGCTGTTGCCTCAATTCTCCTCTTTATCTAGGTGGGAAATTGTCCGGTGTTTTAGTGCTATATAGGAAGACTGATAACACATAGAAGTATCAGGCCCGAGAGGTTGACCTTACTTTCTGTCTGCGATGTGTGTGAGACTGCCCACCTATTTCTCTCGGTCGGTTGTTTATATATCCGTCTATCCAGCAGTTTTTCGCAACATGTATATATCAGGCTCAGTCAGGGCCATATGCGTACAACTCTGAGGTCACAACTGGCAACATAGATAGATAGATAAGCATGAGGAGACACATAGATACGTATGTGGCGTATATATATATATATATATATATATATATATATATATATATATATAGTCATCCACAAACAGACTGTTTCACTGTATCACAGCTCATCAGTGTGGCTAGACATACGGTTGCCTCTAGCTAGGATCGAAACCTGAATTGGCGTCAGTCGGGGATTCTACCAATAAGCCGTTGTCGCACGGCAGGGATGAAGGTAAATTTAAGTGTATTTATTTTTAGATAAGCACACGGTCACTGAGAGAACTCGATTCAATTTACCGAAGAGTATTGCATTATTAGCTGTAATAGTCACTGTTTACAAACCCACACTTCCTCCCCCAGAGAGCTCAACTCAAATAAATTTTTCAGGAACATATATTGTCATCTACTGACAGACTGTTTCGTTAAGATAGATAGATAGATATGAATAGGTTAACATAGATAGATAGATAGATAAATAGATAGATAGATAGATAGATAGATATGAATAGGTTAACATAGATAGATAAATAGATAGATAGATATGAATAGGTTAACATAGATAGATAGATATGAATTGGTTAACATAGATAGATAGATAGATAGATAGATATGAACAGGTTAACATAGATAGATAGATATGAATAGGTTAACATAGATAGATATGAATAGGTTAACATAGATAGATAGATAGAGAGATAGATAGATAGATAGATAGATAGATAGATATGAATAGGTTAACATAGATAGATAGATATGAATAGGTTAACATAGATAGATAGATAGATAGATAGATAGATAGATAGATAGATAGATATGAATAGGTTAACATAGATAGATAGATAGATAGATATATGTATTGGTTAACATAGATAGATAGATATGAATAGATTAACATAGATAGATAGATAGATAGATAGATAGATAGATATGAATAGGTTAACATAGATAGATAGATATAGAGATAGATAGATAGATAGATAGATTTTTAAATAATAATTTCACCCAAATCAAAGCAATAAAGCCACGAAGACACAAGGTGTTATTGAGTGTGAGAGTATATGAGAAATGGGGAATATTATTAAGGAGAGAGAACAATAAAGAAAGAGGAATTACGAAGATAGACGATAACGACTAGCATTGCATTTAAATTTTCGAAGACGGGAAAGCAAAAAGCTGGAAGCGAGTTCCACAAACAAGAAGTGTGAGAGAAGAAACTGTTAGCATAGAACTTACGGTTACATATAGCAATTTCAACTGTAAAAGGGTGAGACCTTGCCACCAATATAGTACTACCCTTAAATTCATAAAGCCTAGATACCAAAGCGGAAGGCAGATTAGAATAATTTCTATGGAACTATTTATAGAAATGGTTGGGAGAATTTAGTTGGGAAAGTGACTGAAGCTAAGCTGCCAGGACACGCCATCTTATTGAAGGCACGAGGCTTATGTTTGTCCAAATGTTTTGAGAAAAATAGGTTTCTCAAGTTCAGTAACTGTTATTGCTCTTTCTACCACCGATGGGAATTTCCTTCCTTACCTTTTGTTTGAAGTAGTGTGGAATATCAATGTTTTATGCCATTATTTTCTCTTCGGGTTACATGTGCTATTCGTTTTAGTTGTTGCTGCTGTTGAAATTATTCACGTGATGTGGTTTCCGCTATTTACTGAACGTCTTTGTGATTCTGTTTTCATTTCAAGACGTGGTTAGCCAGGTCTGAATACATTGGACGCTGAAAACTGGGGAATTTAAACTTAAAACTTTGTACATTATTTACATTATTTGTCGCCATATTTATTACAACGTTTCGGCCGTTGTACGCCCCGTCCTTCTTCAGGTGATTGGAATGTCGAACTGAACCTTTTATTTCGCTCACTGGAGTAGACTGTTCTAATTCCACGTACCATGTTTGATGGATGTCAGTTATTAGTTATCTCCTGTTAATTTCCCTCTGAAAGTTCCCCACTGCCTTAACCAGGTATTGAACTCGCACTCTTTGGGTCCTATCACTGGATCTAACCAACGCCTTTTATCCACTGTTCTTGAGGACATCTGGGTATGAATTTCTGGGTATTATAAACCTAATGTCTTCAACAACCGTTTTTTACCAGTGCTCATATTGCAATTTTTGCTGTTATCATTACATCTTTTTACCAGAGCTCATATTGCAATTTTTGTTGTTATTATCGCCTTTCTCTGGCACTCATTATTACTGGTTTCCATATTGTATTCATTTTTATGCTTAGTCGGCTCAGGAGATTTTTGTGGCCTAGCATATGTGCTGATTCCTTAAGTTTACGAATTTTCTAATGGTGTTCTTTTGTTTATGATCACAACCTGATTCCACAGAGGTTGGTGATCTCCCTTCTTTCTCCATATGTGGTCAGCCACACCTGATTTTTTCACTTCTCCTAGTGTTACAGAATTTCTGGTGTTCTTGAAGTCTTACCTTAAGGGGGCGGCCTGTCTCCCCTTTATATTTCTTAAAACTTTGTGTCCGCTTATCTTCAGCGTTTTTCCACTTAAGATTTGTTCGTTGTATTTCTGTCCCTATATAAAACATTTTTTTTTACTGCAACCCAGAGCAAGAACCACATATTGCATTGTGATCCATTATATACCTACATGTAATAAATCAAAGACAAACTCTGTTTTCTAAGTTTATTTATTCGGTATCGACGATTTATATGTACATTTCTTATAATTCGCACATATTGGATTTGCATTTATCTATTTGTATTATCTATCTATATGAATATAAAATTATTACTTTTAGAAAAACAAATTGGACTTTGCTAACCAGACGTTCCTTTGTGGCTGAAAGGTTAACAGCACGTCAGATCAAATGATGGTTCTCATTAAGGGTTACAGGTTCGATTCCTGTCGTGGAAGTACATATTTTCTATGAAATTTCTTGAAAATTCAAGCCAGTAAATGCAATCGATACTGTTAATTTCAAAACGGAGCATTTACTTAAATAAATTGTCTCTATTAAAAATGACGTATAAACAGAACACACACACACACACACACACACACACACACACACACATATATATATATATATATATATATATATATATATAAGCAAATATATGGATATAGATCCGACAGTATGAAGAAAAATATACAGAAAAAACAAACAAAAATCTCAATATGTAATATATAGTTCAATCGAATTTGTTTGATATTTTAATATTTTGAAATCATCTTCGAATATGTTTTCACAACATCGCCCACGTGACGACGACGTGATCATATTTAAACGGAACGCTGATCTTATATAAAAATTTCAGTTATCTGTTTGGATTAGTTGTGCTCTTATATCCATCGTCTTTTTCATGTTGAATTTTATATGTTCTAATGTTAATTATGTTTTATAAATAAGTCCTGATGATGGTCTAAAATAGACCGAAACGTCCAACGTTGACTTTATATTAACATTAATACAGCATAATTATATATTAAGATTTTTGTTTGTTTTTTCTGTATATTTTTCTTCATATATATATATATATATATATATATATATATATATATATATACAGGGTGCGGCTGGTATTTGAGGACAAATTTTAGTGATTAGTAAACAAACTTGCTGAACAAATGAATATAATTATATTTCATTACAAACAAGTAAACATGAAATTTAACTAACTATTATTTAATTTCATTTAATAAAACCACTACTAGCATCAATAACTGCCTGTATACGAGGTCAAAATCGGCTCTGATTAATTGGTCCTTATATATGTCAGACATTACTCGAACTATTGCAGCTTTGAGAGAGTCTTTGGTGTTATGAGGCTGTTTCTTAACCTCCTTCTCAACAACGCTCCACACATAATAGTCTAGTGGATTGAGATCTGGAGAGTTAGAAGGCCAAATGTTGGGTGTGATGTGGTCGTACAAATGGTCAGCCATCCATTCTTGTGTTTGTAGAGCATTGTGGGATAGAGCAGAGTCTTGCTGGAATATGTAAGGCCTGCCGTTGTATATGTTGTCAATCCAGGGCTTGACAACTGTTTCTACTTGTGGAAAAAAGTGTGTTTTTTGCAGATACATGCAGCTTTTTGGCAATTGACCTCATTGATTGACCTCAGTTTTCATCAATTGTCTGCTTGACTTCCTGAATAAATTCGGATGTTCTCACTTTATCAGAACGTGTAGAATGTCTTTTACGTTTTGATACAGACATTGGGGAACTGTCAGAGTCTTCTAACTCTTGTCATATCTTGTGGACAAACGATCTTGCAACTCTGAGGAAACGTGCAATATCCAAATCGCTATGATCAGCCTTTAATGCCAGAAATCATAGCATGCCTTTTCATTTCATTTGTTATCATAGGGTTTGCCATTCTTGATTTCTGAAAAATAAAAGCATTAGAAGTTAGTGGGAAGCAGTATTAATCTTAAATCTGTATTTCCTTAAATACCAGCATCACCCAGTATATTATGAAATGGATAGTTAAGTTTGACAATTATTTAATATATTTTCTGTTTATATGTTATTTTTATAATGTATAAACAGAAAATATATTAAATAATTATTGAACTTAATCCATTTCATATCTTGTCATTGTTTATGTTCGGATATGTTTCAAGAACAGAAATGATTGATTGAGAAAAATCAAAGGTGTGTGTTTATAAACAGTAATTAAGTCTTTGCTAACTAGATGCTTCTTTGTGGGTGAATGGTTAACAGCACATCAGATCAAATGATGTTTCCCCATTGGGGTTACAGGTTCAATTCCTGTTGAAGGATCACATATTTTCTATGAAATTTCTTGAAAATTCAAGCCAGTAAATGTAATTAATACTGTTTAATTAAAAAACAGAGCCATTATATCTATATAAATATATATATATATATATATATATATATATATATATATATATATATATATATATATATTTCTCCCCGGAATCGATATTTCAAATATACAAATCAACCATTCGCCCTTGCATGGAGTATTGCTGTCATATATGGTCTGGGACACCTTCTGTTTACCTTGGAGTTCTTGACAAGATCCAGAGACGGATATGTAATATATTTGGCCCTGATCTGGCGTCTCGTCTGCAGTCACTCTCTCACAGACGCGCCGTCGCCTCTCTCTGTCTTTTCTACAAATACTTTCATGGTAATTGCTCCGATGATCTGCTTTCACTGGTTCCCAGACTCCATGAATTCAAGCGCCCTAAGAGGCTGACATCCCGCTCCCACCCTTACACTGTAGAAACTTTTAAATGTAGCCGTCTCTTCTACTCCAGTAGCTTCATACCTCGCACCTCTCGCCTGTGGAACACCCTTCCCTATTACTGTTTCCCTGAGAGCTATAATCTCCATCTATTCAAATGTAATGTCAATCGACATCTCCAGTTACCTTGATCTACCCACTATCCCTCTCCTCATCCTTTCTTCTATCACTTCTATCTGCTCTCGCTCCAAATCTTCTGCAACCGCCTGTGATCCTAGTGGCTTCCCGCCTTGCTCGGGGCGTAATGCTTAATATATATATATATATATATATATATATATATATATATATATTCGCCTCT